CACTCATCAGCCATCTGTCTTTTCACACCTCTCCATTATGGATGCACACCTTGTGCTTTAAATATCTCTGCAGGTGTGTGTGTGATCTGTATATTTGGACAGGCTGTGACCGCAGACCATAAACGGTAATGATATGAAATGTGTGGTGTGACTATGGAAACCCCACTGCTTGCGGTGAGCATTTTATATACACACTGTATCATTTATTGCTTGTCAAGATGATGATGAAAGCCGCCGGCACAGTAAACAACACTCAAATCTCGAAGTCCACAGGGACAATTACAAACCTCACCACATGCATCATTCATTCTCAAGCAAACGGGCCATGAGAAAGAGGAAAGATACAGGACACAGACCTGCAAGGTTATGAAAAATTCATATTTGAAGCAAATGGCAACCTGTCAAATCATAAACATGATTTTGAAATGAACAAGACACTTATTGATCAAAAATAGAATAAAAACAGTAATATTGTGATTACAATTTAAAATAACTGTTTTCTATTTTAATATATTTAAAAATGCATTTATTTGTTATGATGGCAAAGCTGAATTTTTAGCAGGCATTACTTCAGTCTTCAGTGTCGCATGATCCTTCAAAAATCATTCTGCTGAGTTTTGTTCAAAAACATTCATTATTATCAGTGCTGAAAACAGATATGCTACTCATACGATGCTACTCAAATGTGTCCTGTCTGCTACATCAATTTAAATGCAAGAATTGAAATGGAATTGCTAGTGCACAACACTGAATACCTGAGCTCTCAGTGAGAACAATGTGACCTCTAAAGCTCCTGCAGTCCTGCCAACTCCATCCAAAAAGCTCATAATCTGTGTTGACGTTTTTTGATTAACCGTAGGACAGTTATGAAACCAAATTTGAATCTGGAGGCAATTGTAATGAATGAATAATATTTCCTCATTATCTGCGGGATTAGAGTGGGAGGTTTCTGTGAAGGGACATCTAATTGGCAGAACCAGGACAAAGGTAAGCAGGAGGTGGGCGAGCGGGCAGATGTGTGCGTTCGCTCTCTTCATTAGATTGATTGGGCAGACTTTGATGTCTGCAAACAAGTCCAAACACCAGTGTTTGGTCCATAGCATTACGCTGTTGTAAACAAAAAACAACATTTTAATGAGACACTGACTATGTATAGGCTGCTACAGTGCACGTTGCTACAATGTCATGCTGGTATACGTACGTAAGGGCAACTCAACCTAATTACCTGGGATCTTGTTGCAGATCTGACTAGAGATTGATAAAGGGGAAAGGGATTAGCATGACTTTCCCCACATGACCATAAATGTATTCAAAAGACAGATATATTGCTCTATACGCGCCATCTGTGAACTGCATTAAGACTTGCGGTTCAGTGTCTTAAACTCTCTTTTCAAATGTGGTTGAATGATGGTTGCCATTGCACATTTATTGGCTATAAGCTAGGCTATGAACTTTCTTAAGTTAACAGAAAATCGAAAGAGACATATAGAAAGCAGACCAGGCCAGCCACACAAGCCACAAGTCCATCACCTCAGCAGGCCTCTCCACAGTCCACTGCTTTTTCCTACTGTATTTACAAAAGGCAGTATTTCTTCATATAATTCATTATACACATGTTTGTTCTTGTATTACTTGATAAACTTGAATAATACAAAGTTTTATGTGGCTCTCTGGTGTACGTGATTCTGAATGATTAATTGGAATGTTCAGTGTGAGAATGTTCCAAAACAACTCAGTCATGATAATTCTCGTCCATTTGTCCATCTTAGACAACATAATTGATTATAAAGCCAGAAACAAAAGGGCTTTTCACACTGCACTTAACATGCGTTAAGTGGGTTATCGTCTTTCTTAGCTCTGCTTTTAACCCCTGGTAGAACCCTTACAAAAATTAACCATGATTTTATTTCTGTTACGGGGCTGACAAGACGTGAGACATGCGGATCCATGTGCAAGCTTTATTAAGCAGAGAGATCAGAAACACAGGCAGGGTCGACCAATGGCAAAACAGGTATATGGCGGGCAAGACACAAGAATAATCCTAGGGCTAGCGAAGGTCAACGAACGGCGAACAGAATCAAAAGGGGCAAGACTAAAGGGATAAATCCAGGAAAACAGGCGAAGATCAGAAACCGAGAAAACGTAATGATGGTAACCATGTTTTGTGGCATATTGATTACCATTTGTAGGCTATAACCACAGTTTTTCTACAAATACCATGGTTAAACTATGGTTAGTATAGCAAAACCATGGTTATTTGTGGTTATTATGGTTTAACTAACAATAAATACATTTTTCTACCTAGTCTGTGTTTTATTAACGTCTACACCTACCCCAAACCCTTAACCTACCCCTTACAATAATGTAAAAACAGCAATTAGTGTTGTACAGTGTGACAAAAAATACGCTATTGATGTGTGCATGCCGCAGCTGTATCCTTTCTAACCTTAACCGTTATGAAACCCTGCTCTGGGGCAGGGTTAGCGTCGCTTTTGCCAAACATGTACAGTTTAAAATAATGTGGTTTTAGAATGGTAAGGCTACATGCCTAGCAGCAGACACCCAATCGCGGGCCTCATACTCGCGTGCTTTAGTTTAGACAGTCATGAAAAAACCGCGCGTTGTATGAACACTTCAACGTTTGAAGGGAAACATATCAAATGGTTACGGAAAAAGCATCAGTTGGAGTGATGAAGAGACCGCTTCATTCTTACCTTTATGTTCCAAAAAGTCTTTTCAGGAAAACTTGACAGTACAGTCGGCAGTCTATAATATAATGCACAGCGATATAGCCCTGTTATGTAAACATATCGCGTGCTGTGTTTGTCCAATCAGTGACAATGACACGGCAAATATGCAAAGAAGAACAATAACCCAGGGTTTAGAATTTAGATAAATTAAATTAGAAATAGAATTTATGAATATCCAGAATTAATTGTTAACCCTGGATAAATTATGAACAGTGGGAAGCGTGAAACAAGATAACCCAGGATTCCATTTACTCGTTTAGAATGACCCAGGGTTAACTATTTTAAGTGTGAAAAGCTCTATACTAACACAAGTGTGCGAATGTATCCGCAAGCATTTGGCCAGCAAATTATAGAATTTATTGCTAAATTCTAACAACTAACAGCAAATACAGTAGGCTACGACTGCTGACCAAGACTTGCGTATTTGTGTAAAGAATGTTTCTGGAATAATTGGTTCTATTTGCTTTTTCATGTGACTTATCATACTGATATTACAATATCTAATCCAGTGCTATAGTTTCAAGGAGTGCTGCTGTGGTTTCTGGGCCCCCTGGACAGTATATTGACTCTGGCCCACCTGGGTAGAAATGTGATGTTTGTGACGTGTAGGCTATTTATTGATTTGAGATATAGACATATAACAATTAAGCAGGATAATGTACAGTCAACTGGCCATTATCGCAAAATAAACCCTAAGAAAACCAAAACCAAAATAAAACAGACTGTCTGGCCTGACTGACTATATTATTTACTTTGCAAGCATGTATTTCAAGTGTGAGATAGGGAGCCTAATCTGTGTTTTCAAGACTTTTGGCACTGTATCACACTAATAAACACACTGAGATCTACTCTTGCACATATATTGCACATGAAATCTGAGCTTTGCATGTCAGAGTCTTGGGGCCAACTGAATAAGATGAAGTTTTGGGTTGCTGGTGGACCCACTCATCTAGAACCACATGCACATGACATGTATCTCACTCAAGTGCACTTACTTTGAACAAGTCTAACTCAGCTCTGGAAACTTACGCACGTTCCCTACAACTAACCACAAACTGTGGAGCACTCCTGCACTCTGGCAGACCCCATCAAACCCCACAGTAGGTGAAGAGCCTGCACAGCAGTCAGCATGCCTTATATTTTCTTTGGATTTGCTCATTTTGCTCATGGGGCTCAGGTCGAGTTAGATAAACATGAGGTTTTGAATATTTCAGGGGGAAAAAGGATTTTACACACATCAACTTCAGTCACCTGATTTGTTTAAGATATAAAAAGCAATAACACGCTGTTAACAAGTGGATTTGGCTGAGATAATATGGCATGTGAGTGACAGTAAGTCCAAACTTAAAAGCGTCCAGTTTCATAACGCTATCTGAGATGTGACAGCTAAAATTGTGTATATTATGCATATGATCCCTTGATTTGAAAAATAAAAAAATCATCCTGTCTTAGGTAATATAGAGATAGTCCAGTATAGTCCAGGTCACAGGGATCACACTAGCCCCTGCAATGCTGCTTTAAGTGGAGGCAGGCATAGTTTTTTAATCCTCATTCCTCCATCCTCTTAAATGGCTAGTTCTGGGAACCATTTGTGTGCCTGTGGCAAGGGATTTTCCACTGTAAACCTCTTCGCTGCTGTATTGTATCATAATAATGCAGGTTTTACGGGGGCAAAACATTTTGTTTGCTACTGTATGACATCTCTCAAACAGTGATGGACTCATATTGGCCAATTATAGGTTACAGTTAAACTGTTCAGAAATGGAGTGGTGAGAAAGGGTTATGTTTTTGAAGGGTTATTTATGTTTCATTGTATTCTGGACGCTTCTATACCTGGTAAGTAAGTAAGTAAAAAAATAATTAGCCTAAGTAATAAATAAAATAATAATAATAATAATAAAAACATTTAATAAAATAAAATAGTGGAGATGTAAGTTTTCACAAGGTAACCATCTCAGTAACCATAGGTTTTCAAAGGTCCAATTAGTCAAATGTGTACTTTTATGTGTATAAGTGGTTTAGTATGTTGGTTTTAACCACCACAGTTTAGGTCTTTAATAATGTCTTATATATTGTTCATGGAATGTGTTTTTCTCCTGAAACATTAATATTACTACTTTTTAAGAACCTTCAGAGAACATCAAAAGTAATTTTCTCATAATGATAAAAATGATAAATGATCAAATGGAATGTTCCCTTAATGTTCATATATCTGTACACACACACACACACACACACACACACCTTATTTTTCCATCCTCTGCAATTACAAAGCCATAGACATGCCCGCGCATCAAACATACGGCGGTAGCTGGAAGTTTCTTACGTTCATAGATTTGGTAAGTGCATGTGCATCGTTCCCATGCATTGCCTGATGTATATTTATATGACATCTCCATAATGCATTATATAGACAGGCCCCTGTTATGCTGAAATTCCTGCAAAAAGGAGTCCAACCGCCAACACAAATAGTCTTAGGTCATATTTACGGAGCATTAAACGTTAATCACATGACTTAATGACTTTTTAAATCTCTAATGATGATGTCATGCTTTTCATATCTCACATCCTCATTAATAATGAATCTTCTTCTGAAGGCTTGTGCTGAATTATGAGCAGTTCATAGGAGGACAAATTAAGGGTGCATTTACAGTTTTTATATATAAACTGAAGCATCCTTTTCTTTTGTTCTGGCACCATAAGGGACCAGTCTGTTTGAGTAAATGCAGGTCACATTAGGCACCAGCAACTGCACGCACGCACATATGCATTGACTGTTATGACAGTCTGTGAGCCAATGACTAATGTTTTCCACATAAACAGCCCATTTTCTCCCCCTTTTTCGAAGAGTGATTTTTAATAGCAATAAAAGTTGTTTTGTTACACTTCACATTTACACATCTGTTCCAGTGCACTGTTTGCTCTTTTTTTTCCCATTCTTGTTTGGGAATAATCTCATGCACAGATATGTTCTGTGCAGATGTGTTCAGATTATTGTGGATGGAGCTTTTCAAACCTTATGCTGTTTCATAACACTTGTGATGTTTTTTCTCAGAATCCTTAGTACTTATTTGAAATTGTAGCACACTCTAGTCACTGCACTACAATTAACATATGAAACTATTGTGCAAAAGTGTGGGCTCAGTAAGATTTTTTCATTTATTTGCAAGGATGCATTAAATTAAATAAAGTGACAGTGAAGACATTTATAATGTTACAAGATATTACTGTTTCAAATAAAGTTTTTTCTCAGAATCCTTAGTACTTATTTGAAATTGTAGCACACTCTAGTCACTGTACTACAATTAACATATGAAACTATTGTGCAAAAGTGTGGGCTCAGTAAGATTTTTTCATTTATTTGCAAGGATGCATTAAATTAAATAAAGTGACAGTGAAGACATTTATAATGTTACAAGATATTACTGTTTCAAATAAAACTATTCATCAAAGAAACCTGAAAAAATTAGAAATGTTACTTTCTTATCTGCCAAAATAGTCGTACCCCAAACTTTCATTCATTGCACATCAAATAAATGTATAAAAATAGTTATTTTAATAGTTTTGGTAACCTAAAAAACACAGTGATGAATGACAGTTATAGGTTTATTCATAAACTATTTCATTGTCTATTAGCACAGAAAAACTAGACTCAGTTTCACCTACAACCATAAAGAGATAGGGAAGTGATTTATTGTTTGCGCTGCTTTGTGTAATAGTATAATGATTCATTATGACAGCATTTAAGGACCTCTGACACCACTCATAGCATTGCTATAAGCTATTCATCAAAGAAACCTGAAAAAATTAGAAATGTTACTTTCTTATCTGCCAAAATAGTCGTACCCCAAACTTTCATTCATTGCACATCAAATAAATGTATAAAAATAGTTATTTTAATAGTTTTGGTAACCTAAAAAACACAGTGATGAATGACAGTTATAGGTTTATTCATAAACTCTTTCATTGTCTATTAGCACAGAAAAACTAGACTCAGTTTCACCTACAACCATAAAGAGATAGGGAAGTGATTTATTGTTTGCGCTGCTTTGTGTAATAGTATAATGATTCATTATGACAGCATTTAAGGACCTCTGACACCACTCATAGCATTGCTATAATGAACCTGGATGATGAGGCTGTGTGAAACGAATATTAGAACAGACGATAAACACATGCCACGTTCAGAGAGGCAGATTATCTCATCTTGGCACAAGAAATGCAAGTACGTCTGGATCAAATGCTTGCACTCACTATCCACAACTGATCTACTCCACTGAAGAATTGTTGCATTTATTAACACTCTAAGTAACTACCATTGTGTTAACTGTGATTTTAGCCATTTATGTTTTCATCAGGCTTCATTAATTATTAAATACAGGGGTTCAGATTTGGCTTTCCATTCTCACAATAGGACACTTGAGGAGCCTGGCATAGAATTGATCTCTCAGTGTCATACATAAAGTGCCTGGTCAAGTGTGGCCGAAAGCTTTCAGTGATCTGACAATGAGATACCCATGGATTAATCAGCAGAGTTTAATTAGCACAGATGCACAGGTTTTCTGAGTGTATCATTACTGTGATGAAAGGCAGCCTATATTTTTGTGAGAGCAGTTGCTATGTTGCAAACGCTTTGTAACTTTAATTCTAAAATCTTTGATTTTAAGACAAATAGGGTTGGAAAAAGTCTGTTCACAGTCTGAAAAGGAGCATTTGAATGCATAGCGTCTGAACTAATACAATTGCACATTGTTTTATGACATTTATTTTATCATGAATGCTAAATGTTATTACCTTAATTTTCTAAGACTGTCTTGCAAGCCACTGTTTCTGCAGTATACTGTAGCGGTCTGTTGTTTGATAAGAACTGAGGTTTCCTAGCCCAATTATTATTATTCCCAGCCTCAAACAAGCAATTCACTAGATTTCATGGAGACTTGAGTCTCAGTCCAGGAATCCTTGTGGTTGTTTATAAGCACAAAATACGACTTTGTATAGCTAATAAATGATTTAATGCCTCTATTGGCTTCATGTCCTTGCACCGTGGCTGTTTTTTAACTCTCAAATGATATGAGAAAAGGATGAACGTCCATTTTTAGCTCAGCTAAAGCAAAGATCAAAAGCCGTAGTGAGGGTAGAGTGAGAAAATAGATCATTTTAGGCGGCTGGTAATAGGGATTTAAGACTTTTCCAATAAAAGATTGGTTTTGGACAAATCGAACATTTATATGAAGCCTTAGCAGAGCTTCTCCTGTCTTCAGACACCAGGAAACAAATTTAGGAGCAGAAAGATAATGAGGAATGAAATATTAAAGAGAGCATTAATGGGAGACTTTTTTGCATGTTGGATATCTGTGGAGGAGATATAATAAAGAAACCCTCATAATTCCATAATGTCTTTCCATCTTAAATTAATGTCAAAGAACACTCTCATCACGAATGTTCACTAATGGAAAATGGGCTAAAAAAAAAAAGACATATTAGCTTAAGGCGAGAAATAGGTTATGGAGGAAAGGTTGTGTATTAAATTATTCCAATGGCAGTTTTCTTGCAGCCTGTCATGCATTGTAACATTTTAAAGCTTGTCAACTGTATCTGTATATTGTTCTGTTTCCTGTGATGTGAGTTTGTTTGCTCTTGGAAAATGGTGGCACTTAGAAATACTCATATTCTATTTTGAGACAACCAAAGATGAATGCATGGCTTTCATCAAGTTTCCCTTCAACTTCCCCTTGTGTTCCTTTTATAAGACAGCGTTGATTTACATGTCAATGAGAGGCCTTCCAAAAAAAAAAAAAAACACACACACACATTGAAATTTTATATCATTAATTTATTTATAACAAAAGTGGACCAAGCTACATCTCAGTCAGTTTTGCCTGCTCTTTTCAGTTAGGGCTTAAAGGAATATTTAACCCAAATAAATGTGAAAATTTGTAAAAAAAAATAAATAAATAAAATAATAATAATAATTGATTTACCCTCAGGCCATCCAAGATGTAGATGAGTTGGTTTCTTCATCTGAAATTTAGCATTACATCACTTGCTCACCAGTGGATTCTCTGCAGTGAATGGGTGCCGTCAGAATGAGAGTTCAAACAGCTGATGAAACATTATAATAATCCACAAGTAATTCACACAACCCCAGTTTATCAATTATATATACTAATCTCTGACATTTTGACTTTTTGAACTCTGGCGGCTAATATCTTAAAAGTTATACTGTGAGATATTGCTACAATTTAAAATAACTTTTAATTTATTTTACAATGTAAAAGTCAAAATGTCACATCATTGTTTTTAGAAGCTGCATTTACAAATTTGATGGGACATGTGTCCCATTTCTTCTGGGTATACTACATTACCTTTTCCTAACCAGTGTGTTATGATTCCCCATATCAGGTCATTCAGGCGGTGTTCTTTGGAGTGTGTGTCCTGACTGACCTCTCAAGCCTTTTGACAAAAGGCAGTGCCAGTATGGAGCAAAAGAGACAGTTGAGGAAGCTGATTAGCTTAAGAGACTGGATGATGGCTGTTCTGGCCTTTCCTGTTGGTGCGGTATGTATAAACCACCAATCAGATTTCTTGTTTTGCATATGTTTTGTTTTGTACACTGTCTGTTTATTTTTAAATACTCTTTATTTTTGTTAGTTGGATCTACATCTGGAGACTGTGAGCAGTGCTGCTGGCTCAATGAGGATATGTTGATGTTCAGATAAAATCAATGCTTAAAATCTCCATTGAAAATTGGATTGAAATTGAATAAAAACACCAATATGGACAGTTTTTTAAGTGAAATAATGAAGTGATCCATATTATTACTGTGCAAAGAAATCTAGCGTTCAAACTAAAGTTTGGAAAAGTTGCAGCTTTTATATAAGTATGCAAATATTGCATTTTTTTTGTACACGGAAAATCAGCAAAAGTCATTGGCTGCTGGCGGTTAGTTTAAAGTGTGTGAACCTACCATAAACTCTCTGAGCCATCAAGTTCCATTGTTAATGTGTGGGAAAGAAAAAAAACAGTACAGTAACGGAACATGAATGCAATACTTTGTCTGAAGCTGCCGTCTCCTCCCACACGTCATTGACATTAAGATGTCTGAAACCACAGAAAAACAGAGGTGACTATACAAAACTTGTTTCAAACAATCATTCAGGGGATCTAAGAAAGGAGGGATGTGTATAGAGAATATATTTTGCTGCATATGCCTGACCAATGATTTAATTTTTTGCAACTTTGCAGTTTCATAACTGTTTTTGAAAACTCACAAGGCTGAATTTATTTGATCAAAATACAGTAATATTGTGAAATTATTACAATATAAATAACTGTTTTCTATTTGAATATATTTTAAGCAAAATGTAAGTCACTCTAATATGCTGTTATAACCTACCTCTCAAGAAACACTTATTATTATCAATGTCAAAAACAGTTGTGCTGCTTCATATTTTTGTGGAAACCATGATATGTTTAATTTCAGGAGTAGAAAGTTCAAAAGAACGGCATTTGTTTGAAATAGAAATCTTTTTGCAACATTATAAATGTATTTACTGTCACTTTTGATTAATTTAATGTATCTATATTGTGCAATCCAGTTCAAAAGGTTACTGTGTCTTGTCTTTGTAGGACAGAATAGACACTAGGTGCCTTTAGATCTGTATTTAAACCATCAAAACATTGAATCGTCTGATTCTTTAAAAAGGTACAATAGGTGAAAAATAGGTACAAAAGGTATGAGCCTGCAGGTCTGGTCAGACAGCATTTGTATTCTCTTAGCATATACGGCTATATCTGGCCACATCCACACATGCTGCTTTGCATAAGGGGACTACAGACACCAATACACATTGTCTTAAATGTAGAGCCTATTTGTTTTGCAAATGCCCAGTCATCTATCTGGCACTGCCACAAAACCATATATGCAATAAAATCCTGTCCTGTGAAGTGAAGAAGGAAACACTGTTGTCTCTGTTTTGTGTGAGTGCCCATGATGACCATCATATAATTGCATGGAAAATATTTAAATTTTGATCACAAATGTCTTGCTTTGTCTCTGGCTGGCTAAAGGGCCTTTAATATTGCATGGCACAATGTTAGTAGGGAGTTTAAGATGTCAAATGACAGTGTCAAAGTGACTTAAACCTTAAGTGGAAAGAAAATGGACTCTGCTCATTTCATTTTAATGAAAGAGACACAGGCATTCCACTTACATTGCAAGGAATCACTAATAATAACTGGCTAATATGGCTAAATAATAAACAAAGCAGAGTGTAAAAATAAAAAAATTATTCTATAGTGTGCAAATACACTACAGGTAAAAAGTTTAGAATATATGATTTTTTTAATGCTCACAAAGGCTGCATTTATTTGATTAAATTATTCCTGTGATGGATATTAGAATTATTTCTGAAGGATCATGTGTCACTGAAGACTGGAGTAATTGCAGCTAAAAAATCAGCTTTTCCATCAATGAATAAATTATATTTTAAAATATATTTAAAAAAGAAAACAGGTGTTTTAGATTGTAATAATATTTTGCAATATTTCTGTTTTTAACCGATTAGACTAAATGCTTTTTCCACATTTTCCTTACTGTTTTTTGGGGAAATGCTGCAAAACATAAAACAAAAATGAATAACAATAAATAAATATTAAATACAGTATTGTATTTTTAAATATAATATTTTAAATATACATAAAGATACTTCCAGCTTTGACCATTGCATCATTCTGTGGGTATTTGTAGGTTGCAGATTCTCAGCGGGACTTAACGAGATGCCAGACAGAGGAGGTTTCCTTGTTAGCTTGTAAAAAACTCAGCAGCCAGACAGCCATGATACAAACACAAAATAGATGCTTGACTTGGCCCTGGCCCTCAGTCTAAGAGCTGGGCATGAGGCTCAGCTTACAGCCATCACAATGAGCATTATTAGTGCTGACGTTAATATTGGGAAACAGGCTCTGCTGTGTTTGAGTGATATGCATACTTTGTTAGCCTTAGCCCAGGTCATTTCCTGGCACCTATTAGTGGTATATGTGTCTCGCCGATATTCACTCTTCTGCATTGTAGACTCAATGATACAATGGGATAAAATTTTGTGCCATCTGCTTAAAGGAATAGTTCACAAAAAATAAAACTTTGCTGAAAATTAGCTCAACTCCATGCCATCCAAGATGTAGATGAAGGAACAGATTTGGAGAAATGTATCATTACATCACTTGCTTTCCAATGGATCCTCTGCAGTGAATGGGTGCCGTCAGAATGAGAGTCCAAACAGCTGATAAAAACATAACA